CACACTTTGAATGACAATTGCGCGGTCATGCAACACTGTACCCATATGAATTTTTTAGCTTTTGTTTGAGACAGATACAACTTTATTTTTTTTGGTATTTATTCACAACTGGGATTTTTTTTTTTCTATATAAATGAAAAAGTCCAAAAATTTTGAAAAAAAAAAAAGTGTTTTTCTTATAAAATTTTGCAAATAAATAATCTTTCTACATAAATCTTGGCCAAAATGTATTCAGCTTTTTTTTTAAAAAAAAAAAAATAACCCAAATTAGTTTATAACCAAAAATTATAATTTTTCTAAATTTTTATTTACATTTTTATATATTTTTTTTATATTATTATTTACTTTTTTTTTAACATACTGTCACCCTAGCAGTAGAGTGTCACCATAGTGACACTGTACTACTTGTGGGGGGTGATGAAGACTTTTTTATCTTATTTTACACTGGTTGCTTTCACACCCATAAAGGCTGTAAAGGCAATTTCTCCTCTCTGGCTGCATTCCTGCAGCCATTGAGAAATACTGTGTGAGCTGTGATTGGTCACAGCTTATCACATGGTACAAAGCTGTTGTGAATAGCCTTGTACCATGTGACCTCTGTGATCATTCACAGATTTCACAAGTAGTAAGCAATGATGTCAGAAGTGACATCTTGTTTACTACTATTCATGTGATCACTGATTGGCCAATCAGTGATCAAATGAATCGGGACCTCACACAGAGGCCCCAGGGAGTGCTCACAGGCAATAGAGGTGGGGGACATTTAGAAACATCCACCCGCATCGGCAGTGCTCCCATCCAGAAATTTATCAACATGGGCAATTTATCAACATGGGCCGGACGGGAAGAGGTTAATCAAGATGACAGACAACAGTGTCAGTGTGTGCATGGAACAGCGAGTGGGGATGAAGTTTCTTGTGAACGAAGGTGTAAAACCGGCAGATATCTATAGAAGACTTCAAGCACATTGCGGTTATGAGACATCCGTAGTAAGACATTTAAATGGTGTAAACGTTTCAAAGATGGCCGTATATCTGTCAGTGACGATCCTGGCCATGGTGGTTCCCAGCCCACAGCAGTCATTCCTGTGAACATCCAGTGTTTGGAACGCCTGATTCTGGATAATCGACGCATCACCTGTCATGAAATTGCATAAGAGACAAATCTTTCTGTGGGAACAGATACAAACATTTTTGAAAAGTTGGTGCATGCTGGGTACCAAGACTAAGAATATCACTGTTGTGTTCTGAGTGATGTGCATACGTGTCTGTGGAAAAAACGGCTGGTTTGTTCGCCAAGGGCATTCTGTTTTTCCAAGACAATGTACGAGCTCATACTGCTCACCAGACTATGTGCACATTACAGCAACTCGACTTGGAGGTTTTACCACCTCCCCCTTATAGCCCGTACCTCGCTCTGAGTGACTTCCACCTGTTTGGACCCCTAAAAAAGTTCCTTGGAAGTTAGCATTTCAGCACTGATGATGAAGTGAAGCCGGCTGTCCTAGGATGCTTCAGGCATACTGACAAATCTTTCTTTGCTGGAGCTTTCCAGGCATTAGTTACACTCTGGAATAAGTGTATAAATGTAGCAGGGGAGTATGCCAAAAAATAAATGCAGTTTCCACTCCTTGAAATGTGTTCTTTTATTATATAAACGCAAAAGTCCCACTTTGACTTGAACGCAACTTGTATAGCCCAATTTTTGGTAAAATATAAAAGAAAATGTTACATCGAGTAGTAAGAAACCTAACATGTCACGCTTCTAAAATTGTGCATGTTCACGGAATGGGGCCAAACTACAGTACTTAAAATCTCTATAGGCGACGCTTTAAAAAATTTTACAGGACCAGTTTAGAGTTACAAAGGAGGTCTAGCACTAGAATTATTGCTCCCGCTACATTTGCGGTGAAATGGTGGTGGTGAGAACACCGTTTACATATGAGGGCACGACCTATGTATGTGTTAGCTTCTGCACATGAGCATGGGGGGGGGACGGGGGCTTTTTACATTTTTTTTAATGTTTTCCTTTTTATTGTTACACTGTCGCTTTAATGTTTTCTTTAATCACTTTTATTCCTATAACAAGAAATATAAGCATCCCTTGTGATAGAAATAATGCATGACAAGTCCTCTTTATAGAGACATCTGGGGTCAATAAGACTCCAGATATCTCCTCTACCCTGGAAAGCATGAGATCAATAAAAAAACAAACAAACTTTGATTTCTGCTTTTCAGAAATAAAATGGCAGTGTTTACATCTGCCAGAGACAGAAGTGATGTCATGACATCACTTCCAGCCTCCCAGGATCATAGAGATGGCCGGGACCATCCGGTCCATGGCCAGCTCTATGGCAACCTGGCAGCACCTCCAGATCTGATTGCACGGGAGAGCCAGGAGAGGCAGCCAGAAAAGGGTGGGATGTCTCCTCCCGCTTCCTGTTAGAGCAATTCAGTGACTAATCAGGCACTAGGATGAGTTTTGTTAAAGAGGGAATCACTGGTTGAAAAGAAAGATACTGGGATGATGCTTGTAGCTGCAGGCATCATTCTGATATAATACCGGCAAGTCAAGAATGCCCATAGATGTCCACCCATCAGGAAGTGGTTAAACCATACTCTGCATCCCCTGCAACCCCATATTACCTTGCATCCTCTAATATACCTCATTTTGCCCCCTGCATCCCCCTGATACGCAGAGCTCCCTGCCTGGGGTTAGAAAGATGGTGGACTGTGAGATGCCCATAGGCCCACTTGATGACTTGATGGGCCTGGGCCCCATTCAGGAAGGCTGCCTTTTGGGGGATCAGGATGGAATTTTTTCCCCTGCAGGAGCAAATTGGATCATGCTTTGCTTGTTTTTTGCCTTCCTCTGGATCAACTGTGGTATAGGATTATAACTTTTTTTTTTATGGTTGAACTGGATGGACTTTCGTCTTTTTTCAGCCAGACTAACTATGTAACTATGGAACTCAAGAACTAAAGTAAACCAGAGAGTGACACACTGGTCTTTTAACCAGCAAGGGTCAACTGGTACCAAGGTAAGATCTAGAACTGAAGTCAAGGTTAGAACTAGAGGTTATTTTTGTGGGGTTACAGGAACTGTGAGCCCACAGCTTAATGAGCATAAAGAATTAGGCTATGTAACTATGTAAGGAGGATCGCTGCAGTAAGTATTACCTCTTTTTTTTAAAATATGTGCCTTTAGAATCACTTTAAGTTTTAAAGAGGAAGAAAAGCCTAAATCTAAATATTCTTAAAATTCTTCTCTCCCCCAACCATTTGCGAAATGGAAGTTGTCCTCCTACCCTCCCTCCCCGAAATCTTGTTGGACATGTGACAGGTCCCAGAAGACGACGGGGCCATTCAGGAAGTTCAACGCTACTTGCGCATATGCAGTGGGCAGAAGCCGAAATCTGTCACAGTCGGGTGCCCACACTGAAGATGCCGGTGCCCGTAATACATATGGTGAAACAGGCTGCAGCAGGGGCAACGCGGGATCTTGGGACAGGTGAGTGGCTGTTTTTTAAAAAGTCAGCAGCTACAATTTTTGTAGCTGCTGACTTTTATTTTTTTACAGAGTGAGCGGAACTCCACTTTAAAAGAAACCGCTCATAACAAAAACCTGGAAGCTGCCATTGCTTTCCGGAAATTGCTAGCTGCCTGGTCATATTGCTCATCCTTTCATTTTATTAGTACTTAACATCTACAATACAGATCTTTTTTTTTTTTTTGTCAGCACATCGATCAATATGATTAACAAAAGCTTTTGCGCGTGGTGCTGTAGGCTTCCGCGTGTAATGAGGGGGTTAATCCTGGCTGCCAGTAGGTAGCAGTCATTATCCAGTAGTTTATGAGTTAGCTTTTTGTCTCTGGGTCATCGATAGTCTGTTATGTTACAATAAGACAAAAAGACAGTGGGAGCCCTTAAATTGTTTTTATCGACTAAGCAAACAGTGAGATTTTTATTCACGCAGAGCTTTTGATACCGCGGAGTCGCAATTCCGACTTGCCTTAGCTCTTTCAGAAGGAACGCTTTTAATAAACTCGATACATTGAACCCGTACATCAAAATATTACACCAAAGGTTGTAGCACTTCTTTTTCTCTGGGTTGCAGAACGGCACGCAAAAGTCTGTGATCCAAAAAAAGACTTGGTTTTTCATCATTCTCTTTTCTAATCCTTGTCATTCGGGTTAGTCAGTTTTATGCCATACATTTAGTTGGCAGTACATCTCCTCCTATTGACTGCGGGCTTAGTTTATAGTCTTTGTGAGTGCCTCCACTGTGTTATCTTCAAAACATCTGTTCGCCACTTTAATAAGATCCTTGCTCCTTTAGAAAGCATTAACAGGTCTACAAAACTCTCTGGGATGATTTCCAACCAGTCTTCAAGTGCTTTAAAATACACAGATCTATGCTGTAAGAGTGGTAGATGGAAGCACCTGTTACATTTTGGCATTTGGTCTATCGATAACAGTTCACAATAGACCACCCGATAAGGTGAAGATTAAAGCATTTGGGCCTAGGTAAAAGTCAGTCATGATGTTCTCCTCTACAGTCTACTTTGTAAGCAATTCCTGCCCACCTACCCTACAACACCACCCATGGGCCATACTATTATTATTTTTATTATTATCATAGACCTGCAGAGGGATCCTCCATTTGGGTGGTTGGAGGATCAACCATGGTGAAGTTGTCTGTCTTAGATGATGTTGGGCTTCATGTTGGCATTTGGTCTGTAGATAGTTACTCACAATAGACAACCCAAAAGTACAAAGATTGCATCTTTCAAGCTTAGGTAAATGTCAGGAATGACATTCTCCTCTATCTTGTACTTAAGCAATTCCTGCCCACATACCCCTACAACACTACCCACGGGCCATACAGGTATTGTTAAGATAGGGTAAGAGATCAGAAAACTAGGTTCAGGTAAGTATGACAAGTTTGTTTGTTTTTTTAAATGAACCTTCAATATTACTTTAATGCCCACACATCGCATATATGCAGTCATGGGTGGCAGGGGTTTCTGTCCTGAGAGTAGGCTTGGTGTGCACTCCCAGCACAGTGAGCAAGCTGTCAAAGACAGCTCCCATATTTTAGTAATAATCGAGTAGTCACAATATCAAGCAGACCTCCCCCCTCAACCCCGGGCCTAATAGCCCAGTTAAAGGGACGCTGAGGCTGGGCTGGAAGGGGGGTTAAAGTAGAACTGAATGAAAACTATTTTCATTTTGAATAGCATAAAAGAGGGTAGAAACACTTGTCTGTGTCCCATGGGTAGCTTAATCTTCTCTCCCTGTCCCATGGTCACAACAGGAAGTGAGAAGAAATTCCGGGAAGTCATCAGGGCCAGAACTAGTGTCCCTATTGGAAGATTTTTCCTCTATTCTTTTTCTGATGACTACTCAAAATTTAGGATTCTCTTTCACTTTTAGTGTTAATGATCACAAGGTCAAATAAGGAGAGTGATTTTCTATAATCGGGACACAAACAGCAATAAAAACCTGACAGGTGTTCTAATCCCTCTCCACTCTAGCCAAAACTATAAAAAAAAACACCCTCTGAGTGGTGTAAAGGCCTGACTTGTTTTAGAAGCATGTGAGTATGTTTTTCACTTTTTACTGTCTGAATAAAGTGGTTTTACACTATGCAAGCTCTCTTTCCTCATTTGTGATCGTGATCGTATTGATACCACCAACGATCTGCATAGGAGCTAAGAGGAGGAGAAGCCCAATACTGTCATCCGGGGAACCCATCAGCAGAGGGATCCATCCACGCTCAGGGGTATAGAGCGATTATATACCCAAGGCTCGTTGGTCCTGTGGGGCCTGGGCAGGAAGGTGAGGGGGCACTCCACCTGTCTGAGGATTGGCACTTGAGTGTCTGCAGATTGGCACTCCACCTATTTGAGGAGGGGGGCACTCCACCTGTCTGAGGATTGGCATTTGCAGTGCACACCTGCATGACTTCATTTCCCACATGGACACTATTCATGTTATTGTGTTTTAGTCACTTTATTGTGTGTTATCACCTATTTATCACTTATTAGCTACATGTGATAAGTTATTTGTATTACATCTAGGGCTGTTAGGGCATATAAGCGCCGCACTGTGTTCTACTCTCATTTCCTGTATATTGTGGGTGCTTTGATTGTGGCACCCGTAGTGCTGGCTGCTGCATTTTAGTAGTATATCTGGAGGCGCAGGAGATACCTCTTTTATCTCTCTATAAAAAAAAAAGTTTTGCCTTCACTTCCCTTCTTATCCCACTTTCAAAAATTGTGAGCAGCAAGGTTCTTTATTACAGAAGAGACATGTCTCATCTCTTGAAGTGTAAGTATCATGGAGTTTAGCTTTCATTTAAGCTTTCTTCTTTTTGATGCCTTATTTGGTTTCCTTTCTAGCTCCTGCAGCTTATCATTCTTCTCTCTGATACCTTCTCTCTGCCTGCCTTCTCTAGACCTTCCCTCAAACAAGCCTCCCCTCCAACCTCCAACCTTATGCACCTTAGGCTATTCACAAAAAGTGTGGCAGAGCCAGTGGCGGACTGACAATTCATGGGGCCCCCCGGGCAATAGGGGATCATGAGGTCCCTGTGTCCTCGCCCACACTCAAACCACATCCAAAAAAGCCTATGAAAGGTACCAGGGATATCTCATGGGGCCCCCTACTGACCCCAGGCCCTCGGGCAGTGCCTGAGTTCCCCAATGGTCAGTCTGCCCCTGGACTGAGCACATTAGTGCATTTCATCACTGACTAAATATATTTTTTTGAGGGCAGCTCAAGCACACCCTAGTTATCCACTGTAGCACTGACCACCTATAGCAGTTGAGAGATTTACCTAGTTACTAATCCCGCTTGTCCTGACCCCATTTGAACTCCACCTGCCAGGACCTCTTATGCTGGCCCTATACTAGTAGAATTTCATTTGAATATTTTATTTTCAAGATGTTCTTTTGATTTTTTTAATCATTAGTGAGTCAAATCGATGTTCATTTTCAACCTCAGTGCTAGGAAAATTCGAAGGAGCTGGAAAATTTTTCTTGAATAAACACATTTCTAACAGTGTATGATTTATGTTCAGGAAAGACAATTTCCAAATCAAATGTTAAAAGCAAACAAAGTTTTCAAGTCTGACAGATCATAGAAGAAAGCTTATGGCGCTGCTCCAAGCTCGACCGGAGAGAAAGGATCACCCCATCATCATGGGAAAGAGGGAGCAGCGTCCTGTAATGGTTCCAGTTACTCCAGTGTTCAGAAAGGGAGGGGTGCCGCTCGTACCAACCCAGAGAGTTAAGTGTGTAGAAAGTGGCCTCAGCTGCTCGCTCCAGCCATGCCTGCTGACACGTTTCCCCCCATGCACTGGGGGCTGTGATCAAGGGTGAAACGCATCAGTGGGCGTGGCCGAAGCAGTGGCTGAGGCCACTCTCCACACACAACTCTCTGGGTTGGTACGAGCAGCATCTGTCCCTTTCTAAAGGTTTTAAGTACAGTATTGAGAAGGTTCATAGGTGTTATTGTAGACGCCTTTGTTCAAAAATCTGCTTGTCTACTGCCAGCCTAATTCTTTATGTTCATTTAAGCTGTGGACTCACAGTTCCTGTAACCCCAATAAAAATAACCTCTAGTTGTAACTGTGACTTCGAATCTATCTGTCAGGAATGGATTCACCACTGGTGGTGGGACTCACCTGCTGTGTGGGCTGCAGTACCAGGGCTGGCCAGCGGGTGCTCTCAGCAGCCAGAAGCTCACTCCTGCAATCAAGCCATCACCTGTATTGTTCCCATGAGCCCCTGTACCTGCATCCTGTCTGCTTCCTGCCTGATCCTGACTTTGCTTTGATCCTGACTCTGCACGAATCTGCCTGTACCGACCTCGGCTATTCCTGACCACTTTTCCGCCTGCTCCTTGTACCTTGTCTGCCCATTTGCTACCGACCCGGCCCGCCTGACTACGTTTGGTGTTGCACATATTGTTATCTGTTGGAGGTTTGGTTTGTTTGCACTGTGTTTATGTTTAGCCTTGCACTGCGTTTATGTATTGTTTAGCCTTTAATAAATTGTATTGTTTTATACTATACCTGAAGTCTGCGTTTCCCTGTGTCGGTCCACACATCTCTTGTCATACCCGGATCCTTGACACTATCTCTTACCTTGGCACCAGTTGGCTTTGACCCTTGCTGGTTAAAAGACAAGTGTGTCACTCTCTGGTTTACTTCAGTTCTTGAGTTCCATAATTACATAGTTAGTCTGGCTGAAAAAAGACAAAAGTCCGTCCAGTTCAACCATTAAACAAAAAAGTGAAAATCCTACACCCAGAGTTGATCCAGAAGAAGGAAAAAAAACACAGCAAAGCATGATCGAATTTGCTCCTGCAGGGGAAACAAAATTTCTTCCTGATCCCCTGAGAGGCAATCGGATATTCCCTGGATCAACTTTACCTATAAATGTTATATCCAGTTATATTCTGTGTATCCAAGAAAAAATCCAAGCCCTTTTTAAATCAATCCACTGAGCTGGCCAGAACCAACACTTGAGGGAGTCTATTCCACATTTTCACAGCTCTCACTGTGAAGAAACCTTGAGTATTGAACCACATACATTAGGTTGACCTAAAAGAGATTGTAGAGAATGGGTGTCCAAATTTGTGACTTTCCTGGGCCACAACAGGAGAAGAGACATAGTCTTGGGCCACACATAAAATAAACTAACAATAAGGATAGCTGATGAGCAGAAAAGGTCAGGCCAGGGGCGGTCTGACAACTCATGGTGCCCCCGGGCAATAGGGGATCATGGGGCCCCTGTGTCCTTGCCCAAACTCAAAAAAGCCTATGAAAAAGGTACCAGGGGCATCTCATGGGGCCCCCTATTGACCGCGGGCCCTCGGCAGTGCCCGAGTTTCCAAATGGTCAGTCCGCCCCTGGGTCAGGCAGATCACAAGTTAATGATCACTGATACAGATAATGAACCTATCGGAGTAATAAAACTTCAATTTTTATTTATTTTTTAATTATAAAAGTAAAAAAGGGCATCATAAAACTAGTGCGATATTTGACACTGTCTTTGATAAACTAATGCATCAATATCTAATTTGATAGCTGTAGTAGCAATTCTCAATGAAAAATATGCTCATCAGATATTTTATAAATTGTTGCTCACACATATAGGTGCTGCCAACAACTGATGACATGAATAAGGTGTGATGATGGTGAAGAGTGGGAGATTTTTCTTTGGGAAGAAAAAACTGTAAAGAGACACTGTCAAATTTTTCTTTGGTAGCAGTTCACTAAATGTAAATGCATTTTTACAAATAATTCCCCCCCAAAATCAAATTTTTAAGTAAGTTTATGATTTTGAGCACTCATAGCCTACTTGGGCCGCATGCATCTCATGGGCCGCGGGTTGGACAGGCTTATGGTAGAGTATTAGCTAACTCCCATACCCTACATTTATCTTTAGATTTTAAGTCACTTTCCAAAATCCCTCTGATAAAGCACACACACGCTAGACAGTACACTTTATATAAATGTACTGATCAAAAGCATACTATACGTAATAATGACCAGAAGGCCAGTTGCCTAGACACATGATGATAAAAGAATCTCTTGCTTGCTGGAGTACTGCTAAATAGGTTAAATGATTCAGAACACTCCATATTGTCCTCTTAAAATTACTTTTGTATCCTTGGGTCTGGCAGTGAATTGTGAACACTTTCTCATTAGCAGCACCAATGCCTTTGATGTCGGTGATTTTAGGTTTTTGTCTATTCAAAATGTAGTGTTTCAACTAGCTTTAAGTAGGCAGTCCGTTTTCCTTTATCCCATAGATATATAGGCATGTTTAACCGCTTGCCCTCCAGAGGATTTACCCGGCCATTTTTTGCGATATGGCACTGCGTTACCTTAACTGGCAAGTGCGCAGTCATGCAGCTCTGCGCCCAAATGAAATTTATGTCCTTTTTTTCCCAAAAAATAGAGCTTTCTTTCAGTGGTATTTGATCACCTGTGCGTTATTTATTTTTTGCGCTATAAACAAAAAAAATTGACAATTTAACAAAAAAAAAAAAACAATATTTTTGACTTTTTACTATAAAACATAT